GGGCACTTGGGAGCTGGTCGAACGCCCGCCAGGAGTGAACATCATGAAGAACCGGTGGGTGTTGACGACGAAGTACCACGTCGACGACACCGTCGAGCGCGAGAAGGCGAGGCTGGTCGTGAAGGGCTTCACCCAAGTATATGGCGCCGACTACGACGAGACGTTCGCGCCGGTGGGCAGCTACGTCACGCTGAGGATCTTCCTCAGCATCGTCGCCGTCCTCAGCCTCAACCTGATGCAGCTCGACATGAAGAGCGCCTTCCTGCAGAGTAAGCTCGACCGAGTGCTCTACATGTCCCAGCCGGACTACTCCAATGACGGAACCGGCCAGGTGTGCAAGCTGCTGAAGAGCCTGTACGGGCTGAAGCAGTCGCCGCTGCTGTGGTACTTGGCGCTCAACGATGTGCTGGTCGGCGCCGAGTGGAAGAAGAGCCAGGTCGACGAGGCTCTGTAATTCAAGGTCGGCGACGACAGAGTGGCCTGCTGGGTGCTGGTCTACGTCGACGACCTGCTCGCAACCAGCAGCAGCACCGAGATGCTGAAGGAGCTGAAGGGGCTACTGGAGTCCGCCTTCGAGCTGCGTGAGATCTCGCCGGTGCAGAAGTACCTCGGGCTGGAGATCGTCCGCGACAGGTCGGCAGGGAAGCTGTGGCTGCACCAGCAGGGCTACGCCCACAAGCTGCGTAGGCGCTTCGTCGACGAGGAGCAGACCGGGCGCACCCCGAAGACGCCGGTCTCGGTCGACGCCTACGCCGACCTCACCTTCGATGACGAGGAGGCACAGGAGCGACAGGAGGAGGAGTACCGGCAGAAGGTCGGCTCGCTGCAGTTTGCGGCGACGACGACGACGAGGCCGGATGTCGCCTTCGCCTGCAGCAAGCTGGGGAGCGACCTCACGGTGAGGAGCGACCAGCACTGGCGCGAGGTCGACCGCTGTCTCGCCTACCTCGCCAACACGCGTGACACCGCCCTGGAGTTCGGCGGTGGACCTGAGTCGCTGGAGCTGGTCGGCTATGTGGACGCCGACGACGCCGGTGACAAGCAGAACAGGACGAGCACGGGCGGCTACGTGTTCGTCTATGGAGGGGCCGCAGTCTCCTGGTCGAGCCAACGCATCAAGTGCGCGACGTTGTCGTCGACCGAGTCGGAGTACATGGCGGCCACCGAAGCCGGCAAGGAGGGACGTCGACTTCGCTTCCTCCTTGTAGAGTTCCGGCAGCTGGATGCCGGGAAGCCGACCGTCCTTCGGGTGGACAACAAGTCGGCCATCACTGTCGCCGAGGGCATGGGGTTGGCGGGCAACCTCAAGCACATGGAGCGGCGACAGGCCTAGCTGCAGCACATGGTGAAGCGCGGGAAGTTCTCGCTGAGGTACATCCCGACCGCTAAGCAGCCGGCCGATTTCCTGATGAAGGCGCTGCACTATCCAGCCTTCAATAGGTGCTCCGTCGTCATCGGCCAGGTGCGCTTGGCCGACGTGGGCGACGGCGACGACGACGTGCAGCAGTAGGTGCCATGCCCTCTTGCATGGCTGGTGCGGTGGACGACGTGCTGTGTGTTGGGTGCATGTCGATGAGCTATTCTCCGAGGAGTACTGCCGTGTGGGCCAGGGGCCCAAGCGTGAACGCGGCAGGGGAGTGTCAACGGGAGTTCTGTGTTGGCCCCGTCCTCGCTTGGGCGGAGCCGACTTCGTGGTCGGGTGTGAGGGGAGCAGCCGACCTGCAGCAGTGGGCGAGCTGGTTGACGAGGAGGTCGACCTGCACAGGGGACACTGCACGGGCGCCGACTTCAGGGTGACGCCGACTTCAGGGAGGTTGACCTGCGGAGGGCGTCGGCTTGGTGACGCCGACTTCGGGTAGCCGACTTGGGTGGTCGGCTGACAACTGCGCTGGTCGACATGGAGCTGGTCGACCAGGAGTGACGTCGACCTGGAGCTGGTCGACCAGGGGTGTGGTCGACCTGGTGAGGTCGACTTGGGGTGATCGTCGACTTGGGAGGTCGACGGGCACATACAGGAGCAGCTGGTCGACGTGGTTGCCCGGTCGACCAGGTTACCTGGGTGGCGAGGTTCTGCGGAGGAGTGCGACGGTCGCCCAGGCGATGTTGGCGAGGCCGACCTCGGGGGTGGTATCCTGAGGTCGACGTGGCGGATCAGGTGGAGTCGTCAGCACGAGGATGACCTGGTGTGTACGTTGTGCAGGTGACGAGGTTTAGCCTGCCAATCATTTTGCGAGCACCTGCGAAGTAAGTGCGCTGCTGTTCTGCGGGAGCAACGCTGGCACACCGTCAACCTGCAGCGTTGGCACGCCGTCGACTCTGCACTGCTGGAGCGCGGTCGACCAAGTCGTGCTGGAACGCGGTCGACCATGCTGCGCTGGCAGTCGACCGATGTGAATGCTAGCTCTGATGTAGTCTTGTCTTGCCAACCTGATTGTACCATTGTTGTCAACTTTCTCTAGTGAAACTCTTGCCAATTTACCCCGTGAACTAGCAAGCAGTGTGTGCACTAGGAAAACGACTAAGGACCAACGAACGCAGAGATCACACGAGCACCCGTGCCTAGCCCGTAGTCTAGCTCCCGTTGTAGTAGTTATCTCCGCATTCTCCTTGTGCTGCAAGGGAAACACCGTGATATTGCACGTGCATCGTCGACGACCAGCAGGAAGTAGCGCTCCCAGCACGGCCGAGAGGTGGGGGCGGGGCCCCACACATCCATGTGCAGTGTCTGCAGAGGAGAAGTGGTCGGAGGAACCGAGGAGGAGTGAGGAGTGACGCGCTGCCGCCCCCTGACGCAAGGAGTGCACAACGGCGCAAGTGATGGCGGGAGCGGGGGCAAGGACCTTGGGAGGCCAGAGACTAGGAGACGCGAGTGCATGCGGCGAAGACGCTCCAGGGAGGGGTGACCAGGATGGTGGTGCCAGAGGAGAGACGGTTGCGCGAGCAACCAACACAAGCAAGATGCAGCTACTTGACCGGACACGGCCAGCTTTGCAGACTCAGTGTGCAGTGTGTACAGGCCAGACCCAGGCCTCTGAGTGAACATGGCGAGGTGGTCGCTAGTCATTGAGTCGGTACAGATCGCCACGAGCTCGCCTCCAAGAGTGGTGGTAGTGTCCAACATATCCTGGAGGACATAGGTACTACTAAGTTCGTAGCGAACAAGTGGAGGTGAGGTGCCAGGTAGAACACGTGTTGACAGTTTCGCCAGCCGTGCACCGTCGAGCACGTGATGCCGTTCCGCATGTTGACTTCGCAAAAACCTCCTCGGCGACATTCGCCCACATGACGAATTTTGCAGTCGCGCGACTTCCGTCGAGTAGCTCGATGAGTGGTCCGTCGAACAGCTTTCGCCTAGACGAGCCCTCTACCGGCCTCGTCGAGGAGCTTTTATACCGACCTCGTCGAGGAGCTCCTCTACCGGCCTCGTCGAGGAGCTCCTTACCGAACTCCTCGACGGACTCATCGACCAGCATCCTCTGCAAGCTCGTCGACCGCGTCCTCTGCGAGCTCGTCGATCGCGTCCTTTACGAGCTCGTTCATCGCGTCCTCTGCGAACACGTCGACCAGCGTCTTCTGCGAACACGTCGACCAGCATATTCTGCGGACTCCGCGGGCAGTCTGCGTCAACTTCTGCGCGCCCTCGACTGCAAAGTCTGCGTCGCCCAAGCGAGGGTGGGGCCATTTTTCATCAACACAGAAGGCCCCGACTAATGTCACGGAACTTCAGATTTTCAGGGGTTTGTGAATTATGTCCGACGGTTTGTCCTGAATATGGCAGAGATAACCGGCCCGCTGACCGACCTGCTGCACAAGTATATGAATTTCGTGTGGGGGGGAGGAAGCCGCAGCGGCATTTCAGGAGTTGAAACAATTGTTGGTATTTCCTAGAGTCCTTTGCATCGCCCACCCATCGCGACCGTTCGAACTCATCACGGACGCCTCAGATTTCGCCATCGGATCATTGCTGCTCCAAGATTTTACGACTTATTACCGATTGCCTACAAGTCACGAAAATTGCATGAAGCCGAAAGCAACTGTAACTTAAACACTAAACTTCTAAAGATAAATCGCATGATCTTGGTAAGGTCTATTGGTTTGAGTTTATCCTTGGGTTATTTATAAGAGGGTTGATACTTGTGGAGGGTCTTCTACCAAGGTTTACCCTTTATTCTTATGCATGTAGCTGGGATTTGCATTCAGGAGGATGGGCTGGTCATAAGGAAGTTTCCTTGGGAATAAGAGTAAGCGGAAGGTTCCTTGGAAGGTGGCTGGTTGGAAGCTTCCTTGATGGAGGCTATGAAATGATCTATTAGGGAAGTGAATTGGAAGGAGCTACAAGGAAGGCAACAAGGAAGGTTCTATGATGGAGATTCCCTTAGAGATGTGGGTGAGCTCAACGGAGCACTCTCATTGGTTGGTTAGATTGCTAGGATGCTCGGCTAGTAGGGGAAGGATTCCTAGAATTGCATGAATAAGATAGAATGATGGTGGTTTGGGTATGCCCTTCCACTATAGAAGTCCTTGTAGGTTGTGTGTAATTCATTTTCTCAGAGTGCATTCTTACCAATGCCACAAGCTCTCTAGCTACCTAGTACCTTGCCCCACTCAAGCTACCTTGGAGTACCCTTGGAGTCTACCTTAGGAGGAGCACCTCTTCAAGTGGAGAAGAGCCCGAGGGGAGGGCTGCAACTCTACAAGGAAGGAAGTGCTATCCAAGAAGGGAGTCCCGTACTACAAGTGTTCTAAGAGAGGTCATACGTATCCGGGTGATGCTCAAGAAGAGTGGTCAGGACGTTTCAAAAGTTAGTGAATTTGTGGTGGCCCATACAGGTCCCTCTCTCCCTTTGGCTGAGAAAACGGACCTTGTGCGTACTTCTACTAACAACATGTCGGCGATTGCTGCAACTATGGGCCAGCTCCCGCGGTTCAATGGACGCTCCCCCGACCCCAAGGTGTGGCTAAGCCAAGCCACAAGGGCGATGAGGTGCTTCCTCGCGAACATGACGGACGAGCAAAAGTTGGACTACCTTCTCATGCACCTCACCGACTCTGCCTATGTGTGGGCGGAGAGCAAGGACTTCAAGACGGTGACGGGATTCAAGCAATCATTCCATGATCGGTTCGTATGGGAGTCAACGGCGACGGTGATGCAGATGCTGACGGTTTTGAAGCAGAAAGAGGGGCAAACGATGACGGAGTTGGCGGATGAAGTAAGGCAGTTGGCCTCATACGTCAAGGACTACCCGGTCGCCATGATGGTGAGAGTATTCATTGAGGGCTTGGATGATCCGGGATTGAGGGAGAAAATGTTGGGGGGAAGGCCAGTGACATTAGAGGCAGCAGAGAAAGCTGTTAAGTACTTCGTTACCTATGCGCAGTCGAAGGAGATAGAGGAGGACAAGGAAGTGGTGGTAAAAGAGGAGACGGATGTGGAGAAGATCACGAAGCAGTTGGAGCGATTGATTATGCAGCTGACTCAAATGCAGCAGGGTAGGGGAGCAGGTATCCTACCTAGGCCGGGAGGAGGAGCCGGAGGAGGAAGATTTAAGTGCTATCAATGTGGGAAGGAGGGACACATGGCTAGGGAATGCCCTAACAAGGGAAGGGTAGCCATGAACGTGATGCAGCAAATCATGAAAAAATCGAAGCCGACTATGACCATAGCGGAATTCTTGAATGGAGAAGAAGGTGGAGTGGAGATGTTGGTGGGGGAGAGGAAACGGCGAGCCATTAGGGATCCAGAAGGATGGGGGATCGATGAGGCAAGTGAGGAATTAAGGAAGAAGTTGGCGGACGGAGGAGGAGGAGAAGAGGCAAGGGGGTCAAGGTTTGTGAGGGGAAAGGAGAGGATCTCGTCCCTCCCCACCTCCTACAATGTGGTGGATCAACTCAAGCTTACTCCCGTGAGTGAGAGTATGTGGAACTACATCAAAGACAGTGATAAAGTGAGAAAGGAGCTGATGGAGGCCTTGAAGAAAGGGGATGAGGAGATTGATGAGGGGGCAGCCGCTATGCAAGGAGTGGCAAAGGTAGTGGCAGCCGCACCGGTGGAGGCTAAGGGAAAAGAGAAGGAGGCGCCTACAGCTAGTAACCTAATTTTCCATATCCCACAGTGTGTCGTGTACCTCGGGAAACATCGAGTGACCGCGATAGTTGACTCAGGAGCTTCTCAAACCGCCCTCTCCCATGTGATAGCTAGAAAGCTCGGGCTGCTACCGTACACCCAACATACCACCATAGAGTTCACCACCTCTAGCGGGGAGACTTTGAAGTCGTGGGGAGTTTTGCCGTACGTACCGGTTAGGGTAGGGAAGCTGACTCTACCGGTGGACATTGCACTGACGGGAGCAAACACATACGATATGCTTCTAGGGCAGGACTGAATCTATTCAGCCAACGCGGATATCTTGACAGGTAAGGGGAAGATAGTCTACCAAGTTAACCCCACGGAAACTGACTCGGTCCCCTTCACCACAGGACCATTGGGTGGTGGTGGCCGTCCCTCCTATGTGCTCCTCCCCTCCCATATAACTCATAGGAACATCAAAGAGGAGGATGAGGAGTGCATCAAAGAGTGGATGGAGGAGCAGGACTTTTTAAAGTGGATGGAGGAGAGGAGGGTAGCCATGGCAAAGGAGGAAGTGAGGATGGAGTTGAACGCGGAGGAAGAGGATGAGTACTACCTATGGCTAAGGGAGCAAGAGGAGGAAGGGGATAAGGAGGAGGCATCAAGTGATGTGGAATCCGAAGAGGAAGAGGAGGAGGAGAAAGAGCTTAACGTGATAGATGGAGAAGAGGAGGCTTGGGGATATGACTTTGGAAGCCCAACAGCGGAGGAAGTAGGAGCTTTGGAAAGCGCAGGCTTGGGGATCGATTGGGACAAGGAGTAAGATGAGATGGTGGAGAAGTATGTGGGAGAAGAGAACGAAGTCAAGTGGGAGGGAGATTCCATGGTGGACGGGGACGAGTATCTAGACTACGAGTGGGAAGAATGGGAGCTGGTTTAGGATCAGATGAGGAAACCGAAGAGCACGAACCATCTCTTTGAGATGTACAACTACCCGGCAGCCGAGAAATGGAACTACGTACACCCTCATTCTCACCACATGAACAATCGCCACATGCACCGAACGCCTTGGCTGACAGCAGCGTGCCCAGAATGGTGCATGTACATACAGTACAGGCACAAACACGACTGCCAACTTGGCAGTCCCTTGCATTGACCTTAACCAACCTAGATGTGAGGGTGAATAAGGATAGGTTAGTGCAATGCGTGAATCCCGAGTGAAATGCGAGTCAGATCGGCATTTTGAGTTTGGAAAATCAAATTACCGACTTTCGACTGGCCCAAAGAATTCGTCAAACCAGTTTATCCCTTATGTTGCCTCCGTGCCACGTGTGTAAATCCCATCAATCCATCCTCCACGTCTGACTGGAAACGAATGTAAAAAAATTGGAAATCAAAGAAATCCATGCACATGCATTGCCGACGCCAATGGCGGCTCGGTGTGCAAATTTCACTCAACATATGAACTCACGAGACACAACTTCCAGAGAAGCTAGCTCTAACATTGTGACACCATGGGTCGAGTTTATCTCCCACGCTACATCAAACGTGCTATCTGCAAGCACCACAAAGCTAACAAGACGCTGACGCATGAAGATTTATGCGAGTGGACAGCAAAGACATTTAATTTGTTACCCTCGCGCACCACCATCACGAGGGTGTTTCAAGACAAGGAAGAATGGCTTGAGGAACGTGGAGACGCAAATGACAACGAGTGCCGTGTTTGAAAGGGACTCTACACCGGACTGGAACTTCGATTATGCTGCTGGATTAATACTGCTGCGAACGCTGGTCTACCATTGACCCTTGCCATTATCCAGCTCCGCGCCAAACAGCTCGCCAAAGAGATGCCCGACATCCCTTCATCTTTTAAGTGCTCTATTGGATGGGTGGTGCGAACTCTTAGGCGGATGGGACTGAAATGCTTGATGCGCAAAGGAGAAGCTGGAGCAGCGGATATGGAAGCAGTGAAGGCGTGCCGTGAGAAGCTGCCACAATTGCTAGTACGCCTTGGGATCACTCCAGAAGATTTGTACAACTTGGACGAAACGGCGCTCTATCCGGCCATGATTCCCCGAAGGACTTATGCTCGTGAGACGCTCGCCGGCGGCAAGGGCTGCAAGGAGCGTTTGACGGTTGCTTTGCTTTGCAACGCGGATAGCTCCGACATGTGGAGGCCGCTTGTAATTGCAAAGGTGCAAAGGCCGAGGGATTTCGGAACCGATGGCTTCAACGTCGAACACCATGTGAAATGGAGGTGGAATCGCAAAGGTTGGATGAACACTGAGGTGAGCCGCAACCTATATGTAGTTGTGTCAATAATAGATAATGGTCGTGTGAGATTGAACGCACTCATATGACATACAACCTCCCTTTCCCAACTGTGAGATATGGTCACCATGAGAGTACTATTGTTCATGTTTTCCCTCTCTTTTTCTATGTGCACCCTAGCTTTTCAGGACATTCATGGAGAATGTCAACACCACTTGCTATGCACAAGGACGTCAACTCGTGGTTCTCATGGACAATGCGTCGTCGCATAGCATTGACCCGAGTATGGGGACGGAGGAATCACTCTTCGGGATGCGCACGGTGAAGATGTCAAACGTCCGCATCATTTACCTTCCGGCCAACACAACAACCTTCGTGCAGCCATTGGACCAAGGTCTCATTTCATGCTTCAAGATGCAGTTTCGCCAGCTTCGTGTGCAGGAGCTGATCAAGGAGTTCGAAAAGGGTGTCACGGGCGCGGAACTCCGTCGCTCCAAACCAGGGGACCGACTTACAGTGACGTGGATCGGTGAGTCGGTGAAGTCCATTGACGCATGCACCATTTAACGTTGCTTCTGGCGCACGGGATGCCTTCCAGACCAATGGCTGCCGCAGATGGTGCACGTGACGCCCACATCGATGGCCGCACCTAGCGGGGTTACGCAAGAGGAGATTGCTGAACTCTCACTGGCTATTCAGCACTTGCAGCTAGGACAGAGGGCAATGAGCCCTATGGAGTTTGTGAGATATGACGAGCTGCAGCCCACGTGTGAGTTGATGGAGCCGAACTTGATGATTGGAGTGGACGAAGAGCATGTCGACCACGAGTTGTTCATCGCAACGCTAAACACTACCCCTGATGCTGTTCTTGACCGCGGTGAACGCCGTGTGGCACGCCAAGCCACTGAAATTCTCGTCACATACGCTCGGGCTAAGGGCATTGAACCTCGTGATCTCATCGAGGAGCTGGAAATAGGAAGTGGAGTCGTCATGGACCGTCTTGAGCGCGCGAGCCGTACAACTTTTGATTTAAATGTCGAAGCTGCTGATGAAGAAGACGATTTACAGTAGATGCAGGCGGAGACGCCCTTTGCAAATGAGCAGGAGCTGCTGACGTTTGCCATGGAACTTCCTGGACTTGGTGGATCACAATAGGTTTGACGTGATTCTCATTAACAAACTGATCGTTTTCTTTGGCAGGGTTGAGTGTGGAGTTGTACTAGAACTCTCTTGCATGGTCTGCCGCGTCTGGATTTCTGCACCATCTGTGCTCTGTTCTTTTTCCTCTGGTGTAGAAAGGCCGCCATGGCTGTGAGCTTTTGCGAGTGAGGTTTGTTCGCTGCTTTGTCTGTTTTTGCTGTCTTTGCGTAGGTTGAGTCTGTTGGTTGGGTTGGTTTTCTTTAGACTGGTTCACTTGGAGGACTTGTCTCAATCCCTGTTTTGTGGTTGAGCATTCCCTTTATGGTTTGCGATTTCTTTACCTATTTCTACCGAGCGTAAAGGTTCTGTTTGTGTACTGAACCTCAGTAATTACCATGTGAAGTTTCCGCTTTTTTTTTACGGAGAGAAGAATCCGAATGAAATCTGGAGTGGACAAGTTGGCAAAATAATTCGAACTTCATGTTTTGTCGACTGGTGAATGGTTGGCCTGTCAGCATTTGGAATTTCGGTTACATGCACAGTGGCGCTATCGGACAGCACTGTAGACGCTGCTCCCGAATGTGCGCAGGGCAAGAATGAGGGTGTAGCAGCTGAAAGTGGGGACGAGGGGAGGATCATCCTAGGAAGTTACTACACCCTCAAGAAGGAGGCGCCTAGGGTAGCTTGCCCCGCATTTGAGGACCTCCCCGTTTCCTTGAACTACGAATTAGGGGAGCAGCAGCAGAACCCATTCCAACATCCGACCCATATTGCCACTGGGAACACCAATCCGATAGCCCACAAACCATACAAAGTCTCACCTTCCGAGCGCGCTAGAATCGAGGAGGAGGTCCATACCCTGCTCAAGCAAGGGGTCATTCGCCCTTGGAACAGGCCATGGTCATCCCCATGCATCGTCATCCCTAAGGAGGACTATGGGGATAGGGTAGTGATCGATTACCACCCCCTCAACGCAGTGACCGAAGCAGCCGATCAGTTTCCCATGCCGCGGATCGATGACATCCTAGATAAGATGACGGGGTCGCTTTACTTCTCAGTGCTCGACGTCAAATCCGCTTACCATACCACCTTTGTAGCGGAAGAAGACATCCCAAAGACAGCGTTTGTCACCTCCACGGGTCAGTACGAATACACACGGATGCCATTTGGTCTTAAGAACGCACACGCCACATTCCAACGCCTCGTTGAGCACCACTTTTCGCACTCATCCCAATGCCATTCCATACCTAGACGACATCATCGTCTTTTCCAACAGTTGGGAGGAGCATCTTGAGCATCTGCGGGACGCATTTGAGAGGATCAAGGAGAACCACCTCTTGTTGAAGCCGAACAAGTGCGAGCTGGGTTTCTGTTCAACCATCTACTTGGGGCATGTGGTGACAAGGGAGGCAGTGAAGCCGGATGGAGGAAATGTGGAGGCCATTGGCAATATGGTGGCGCCAGGGGACCAGAGGGGAGTACAGGAGTTTTTGGGGTGCACGAGCTACTACAGGAGGTTCATCAAGGGGTATGCCAAGGTGGCGCACCCGCTCACGCAGCTGCTCCACAAGGACCACCCGTTTGAGTGGACCCCTGGATGCGAGCACGCATTCAACACCCTCAAGCTTGCACTCATTTCACCCCCAATCCTTGCATTCCCAGATTTCACAAAGACATTCATTCTCCAAACAGATTTCTCGGCCAAGGCACTAGGGGCGATCTTGGCACAAAAGGACGAGAAAGGAGCGGAACGGGTGGTAGCTTATGAGAGCCGAACTACAAGGGGAGCGGAGCGGAATTTGTCTTCAACACATGGGGAGTGTTTGGTAGTGGTGTGGGCGATCAAACACTTCAGGCCCTACCTCTACGGGAGCAAGTTCTTGTTGTAGACGGATCATCAAGCACTTCAGTGGCTCATGACCGCAAAGGATCTCACGGGGAAGCTGGCTCGGTAGAGCTTGTTGCTGTAGGAGTACGACCTTACTATCGCTTATCGTGCGGGAGAGACACATAAGAACGTGGACGCTTTGAGCCGCATGCAACAGGGGTTGCATCTTCATGTGGGGGGGGAAGGACCATTCCATTGGCATGCATACATCCCCTCACCCACCCATCCCATCTCCCACACCAGCTACCACATCCCCATGTACACATCCCTCTTTCTTAACAAGCAGGAGGATGAAGAGGGAAAGAGTAGTGAGTCAGTGACCAAGGGGGAGATGGAGAAGGGTGACGAGGAAGAGGAGAGTACTGAGGAGGATGAGAAGGAGAATGGGGAAAAAGAGGAGGATAGCAAGGAAGAGGGGGAATCAGAGGAAGAGGAGGAGAAGGAAGGGGAGGTAGAGGAGGAAAGTAGAGAAGGGGAGGAAGGGGAGAAGACCGGAGAAGAGGAGGAGAGCTTCGAAGAGGGGAAGCGGCAGGATGAGGGAATAGAGGAGGAGCAATTGCTAGAGGAGATGGGGCAACCTAAGAAGAAGGCAAAGGTGGAAGGAGAGGAAGGAGAGGGGGGGACCCCTAGTAAGAATCTCGCGTCCGAGGCAACCGTCGACATTTGGGATGACGTCAACACGTTGTTCTTCTTGGAGAAGGGAGTGGTTGATCCGGCATGGAGCACGGTGGAGAAGAGGAGGGTGAGAGCAAGGGGAAAGAACTTCGAGTGGAGGGATGGGAGGTTACTCAAGAAGATCAAAGGGGAGTTGAAGCCGGTACCAAGGAAGGAGGAGAAGAGGGACATCATAGCATTTCTTTTTGGGTTGGGGCACTTGGGGGTGCCGAGGACCACGGACCTGGTCAAGAAGCAGTATGATTGGGTACGGCGTGGGGAGTGATGTGACGGCGTTTGTGAAGGGGTGTGCGACGTGTACATTCCAAAAAGGGTCTTGGACGGCGAAGGGAGAGTTGCAGCCGGTGCCGGTCACGAAACCGTGGAAGAGGGTAGTGATAGACTTCATCGAATTGAGAGGTTCCAACGGAATTTGAAGGGGGTGTTGTTGCTGCTTGGTTACAGGGCCTCAATCCATTCTTCCAACAAGATTTCCCCCTTCTTCTTACAGTATGGGCGCCACCCAAACATCACGGGCACCACCATGTCGGAGTTCGAGATGCGGGAGTTGTCGGAGTTGTCCACGGAGGAGGAAGTAGATGCGGTGGCGGGATATCTCTACAGGAGATCTTCAGAGATGGAGCTGGTGTTAGCACAGGCGGTAGGAAACCACGACAAGGCGCAGGAGAAACAGAAGCTGGACTTTGACTTGAGGAGGACAACGGCCTTACAGATGGAAAAGTTGGAGAAAGGGGAATTTGTCCGCATCAAGCCGAGTAAGAGGGTGGCGTGGGAGGAGCAGGCTAAGAAGTTTAAGAAGTTATTTAGAGTGAAGGAGGTGGAGCAGTTTGATGTAGTGGTGGAGGATAAGGCGGGAGGTTCATGGAAGGAGTCTCGGGAGAACGTGAAGCTGGTGAAGTTCGTGCTTTAGAACCACATCCCCACTTTCCCCGCTAAGTATAGGTAACGCCTATACACCCCCACTCTCCCCGCAAAGTACAGGACCGCCTGTACACCCCCATGATCAAGCGCTCATTAGGTTACCCACTCTCGTTCACGCGAGCTTAAACTACCAGCGACCAAGGCGATCGGGCGATCAACGGCGAACAAAGCGAGCATAGGCTACCTTAGTTTAGATTGGCCTTCGAAGCGGATTCGGCGGTGACCTTAGGTAAGCTCGGCGACTTGGGCAACGTGCGAAAGCGATCAAGATATTCAAACCTACTCTCTCTTCTTCTCCTCCTCCTTTTTCCAATCATCCATCTTCCTAATCGAGAGACGGGGGAGCTTGAGACCCGAGTGATCCTCGCTTTTAGGGCAACTATGGACACCGAAACCGAACACCTCTATCAGTGGGTGGTGGATTGCTTCAACCTGAGGTCATATCCCATCATCGTGCCCGAATTAGGGTTTCGACAAGGGAATGTGGAGGGGTTGGAATTGTCGGATTTATGGGTCGATTGAGAAGAGGTTTGCGGAGGGGAGTACTTCTTGGAGGAGTTCCTTAGGGTAATAATGGAAGGAGGGGGAGGAGTACCTCGGATGCAACTGATAGACAAGGAGGACCCGCGGATGGAAGGAAGGAGTTTGGACGTGAGGAAAGGTGGAGCTAAACTGGCCCTACTGTTTGGGTGGGTATCACGGGAGATCACATGGGAGGATTTGAGGTATTTTACGGAGGTGCGAATGGCATACAGGTGGTGTGTGGAGCAGCGGCGGGTGGTGTCAAGGGTGGAGGAGCCAGGAGAGGTGGTTGAGATACCTTGGCATTTGATTGGAGTGGGTACGGACTATGAGACAGTGGAATAGCCATGGGACATACATCTTCCTATCCCTAATAACTACTTCCCTTTCTTCACCGATAACTCCCGACTTCTTCACATCATTCCTCGCTCCCTTAGCCTAAACCCTCACACTCTCTCTGACCTCATGGACCCCTACTACGTTTACGAAGCCTGCCCCCTATGGCTCCCGGATCATAATCGCTACATCTATATCTTTGGTGACTACGAACAACATCTAGACCACAACTATGACTCGGACTCTCAATCACTCTTCAGCTATCCCTCCGACCCTAACACCCCATCTTCTCCATCCCCCTCACCCCCTCGACCTCCTACACCCTACTCCCCTGCCTTAAACTCTGAACACGACGAGCCAACCATCCCCTCTTACCCCTCCTATACCCTTCTTCGACATGAACCTACTACCCCACCAACTTCACCACCCTCTACCCCCATCATCTTACCCCGTTCCCCTCCTCCATCCCCTTCTTCTCCTACCTATACTCCCTTCTCACCTGATTCCCCCCCTCCTCCCCTTCTACCCCCTGAGGAAGACTATGCCCTGGCTAGGTATGTGGTGGTGGTACCCATGGGATATGAGTTTGAGGATGGAGAGATTTTCTTGGCACCGGATGGCACTAAGGTTCGGCGTGCATGGCAGGTTGAGTGGGTGAGTGGATCGGTTGTGGTGGAATCACACTATCTTTACTAAGGTGTTGAGAGAGTGAGAGAGAGCCTTTAGAGGATGGACCGGATTTGGTGAATTATGAGAAGGATGGTGAGACCTCATGGAATGGAATGGAATGACCCGGGATATGGGGGGTTTCTTTTAGAGTGTGGTATTGAGTGTGATTTTGTGTGACTTTGATATGGTATGTGGGGAGTTTGGGAAGGTACCCTCCCTTGTGTCAGGAGCCACAAGACCGCGTCTGAGAAAGTTACATTTGTAACTCAAACACTAAACTTCTAAAGATAAATCTCATGATCTTGGTAAGGTCTACTGGTTTGAGTTTACTCTCGGGTAATTTATAAGAGGGTTGATACTTGTGGAGGGTATTTTACAAGGTTTACTCTCAAGGTTTACCCTTTATTCTTATGCATGTAGCTGGGATTTGCATTCAGGAGGATGGGCTGGTCATAAGGAAGTTTCCTTGGGAATAAGAGTAAGTGAAAGGTTCCTTGGAATGTGGCTGGTTGGAAGCTTCCTTGATGGAGGCTATGGAAGGATCTATTGGGGAAGTGACTTGGAAGGAGCTACAAGGAAGGCAACAAGGAAGGTTCTATGATGGAGATTCCCTTGGAGATGTGGGTGAGCTCAACGGAGCACTCTCATTGGCTGGTTGGATTGCCAGGATCCTCGGCCAATAGGGGAAGGATTCCTAGGATTGCATGAATAAGATAGAAGGATGGTGGTTTGGGTATGCCCTTCCACTATATAAATCCTTGTAGGTTGTGTGTAATTCATAATTGAGAAAGCTTGCTTTCTGTTCTTGCATGGGCAACGGGCTTTATTAACAATTGCAGTACTACAACATTCTCGTCCAACTATGGTTTACACAAATATTCAAATATACAACTAGTGTGGGTGGGTGGGGACTGGAACTGCAAAGTTCCGAAATGAAGTCGTGGGTGGAGGCCGAATGGCCTCCAACCCTCGTTATATACTCGGCGAATTGTAATTCGCCGTTGCTTTGCTGCGTTACAGGCAGCTGCGCTTTCACAATACGCATTTTTAGAAAGTGTTACACCCTTTCGAAAAAAGATCATATTGAGAAAGCTTGCTTTCTGTTCTTGCAAAGGCAACGGGCTTCATTACAATTGGGTCTTCTGAGACATGTGCGATTGGGGGCGTTGAAGACGTGTTGAGTGTGGTTGCGGTTGATGGCATCGACGAGTGCCGAGAAGGCAGCGTTGGTGAGTGTGATCCCCATGTTGATGGGGTTTGGAATATTGTGTGGACGATAAAGCTTGCTTGTTCCTTTGAATTGGATGTCCTGAATTGTTGGTGTAACAGGAGGAAAGAGTGGTTGACACTGGAGGTTTCCAAAAATTTCATACAAACACGACACGAATAGTTGCGCACCACTGGCCCAAAGCAAACCAAACCAAACTCATATACGACAGCAATCAAGGATAATTTATATACGTCAAGAACTTGCCTATCTAACATCAGAATCTGCATGTCCTTCCCCAAGGTACGGCTCTCTGGCCTGTGTAGAACCTTTGACCCCTGAGGAGTAGCTCCCTGGCCTTCCCTCCCTGGGGGACGGCTCTCTGGCCAAACGGGGACCCTCGGTCCCCCTCCCCCCCTGGGGGACGGCTCTCTGGCCACACGGGAACCCTCGGTCCCCCTCACGCCCTGGCGGACGGCTCTCTGGCCACACGGGGACCCTCGGTCGATTCTTCTCGTTGGAGGACGCCCTTGGGTATGCGTGCAGTTGATGGTATTGTCGGTGCGATTTTTCGGCGCGACTAGTGGGGTCCCACTCTTTATAAACTTCTTTCCACAAGCATGGCGTTGAGTCCGCGTTTCTGCCATTCAGGGATTGACGGGGCATAGAGATTAATCACAAAAAACGCAGATAACATAACGAAAAAGAAAAAAGAAGAAAAAGAGATTCGAAAATGAAATGAACTTGACTTGCAGCACTTATATGCAACTGAACTAACTAGTGGTTGACGCTTAGTCAAACTCTTTTGAGTGCAGTGGCCATTTCTTATCTGTGGCGCTGATGGCGATTGAGCCACTGGCACGCATGGCAATTTCGCCACAGTCGCGCGTCTGGCGATTTCGTCCTTGGGGCGCGCCACTGGCGCCGGTGGCGATTTCGTCACTGGGGCGCGCCACTGGCGCCGGTGGCGATTTCGTCACTGGGGCGCGCCACTGGCGCCGGTGGCGATTTCGTCACTGGGGCGCGCCACTGGCGCCGGTGGCGATTTCGTCACTGGGGCGCGCCACTGGCGCCGGTGGCGATTTCGTCACTGGGGCGCGCCACTGGCGCCGGTGGCGATTTCGTCACTGGGGCGCGCCACTGGCGCCACTGGCGATTTCGTCACTGGGGCGCGCCACTGGCGATTTCGTCACTGGCGCGCGCCACTGGCGCCAGTGGCGATTTCGTCACTGGCGCGCGCCACTGGCGATTTCGTCACTGGCGCCAGTGGCGATTTTGTCACTGGCGCCAGTGGCGATTTCGACACTGGCGCTAGTGGCGATTTCGTCACTGGCGCGCGCCACTGGCGCCACTGGCGATTTCGTCACTGGCGCGCGCCACTGGCGCCACTGGCGATTTCGTCACTGGCGCGCGCCACTGGCGATTTCGTCACTGGCGCGCGCCACTGGCGCCAGTGGCGATTTCGTCACTGGCGCGCGCCACTGGCGCCACACGCGATTTCGTCACTGGCGCGCGCCACTGGCGCCAGTTGCGATTTCGTCACTGGCGCGCGCCACTGGCGCCAGTGGCGATTTCGTCACTGGCGCCAGTGGCGATTTCGTCACTGGCGCGCGCCACTGGCGCCAGTGGCGATTTCGTCACTGGCGCGCGCCACTGGCGCCAGTGGCGATTTCGTCACTTGCGCGCGCCACTGGCGCCACTGGCGATTTCGTCACTGGCGCGCGCCACTGGCGCCAGTGGCGATTTCGTCACTGGCGCGCGCCACTGGCGCCAGTGGCGATTTCGTCACTGGCGCGCGCCACTGGCGCCAGTGGCGATTTCGTCACTGGCGCGCGCCACTGGCGCCAGTGGCGATTTCGTCACTGGCGCCAGTGGCGATTTTGTCACTGGCGCGCCCCACTGGCGCCACTGGCGATTTCGTCACTGGCGCGCGCCACTGGCGCTAGTGGCGATTTCGTCACTGGCGCGCGCCACTGGCGCCACTGGCGATTTCGTCACTGGCGCGCGCCACTGGCGCCACTGGCGATTTCGTCACTGGCTTTCGTCACTGGCGCGCGCCACTGGCGCCACTGGCGATTTCGTCACTGGCGCGCGCCACTGGCGCCACTGGCGATTTCGTCACTGGCGCGCGCCACTGGCGCCACTGGCGATTTCGTCACTGGCGCGCGCCACTGGCGATTTCGTCACTGGCGCGCGCCACTGGCGCCAGTGGCGATTTCGTCACTGGCGCGCGCCACTGGCGCCAGTGGCGATTT